TGAAAATGCACATTCATTCTCTGCCAGCAGGTGGAGCATTTGGTAGAAATATAACAGTTTCCCCGGTAACGGCAGAACACAAAGCAGACCAGCACCGGACTTTGAACTTGCAGCGCTTATGTTTATTCAATGAAATCATAGCCTTTTGAAGTTTAATCGTCACATTCAGCCATATCGCAATTCTGGTATTTCCGTCCCCAAATTTAAGACCTCTTGAAATCATAATTAAGACTTTCATGTACAATTTAAGACTTTAAGGCCTTAAATTTGATACAACTAAACTTAAGACTTTTTAAAGGGGTCATATGATGTGATTTCAAGTTTTCCTTTCTCTGGTCTTAAATCTCATTTTGTAAAAAAAAAAATAATAATAAAAAAACGTGAATCGAATCGTGAAATCAAAATCGTGAATCGAATCGTGAGTTGAGTGAATCGTTACATCCCTATGACTTGATGATGCTCAATGAGTTTTTTCTTAGTAGAAGTTGACATTTTTTCACTGCTAAAGCTTGCTTGATGCATGAGAACAAACTTTGAAATTTGATATGCGACAAATATACACATTGCTCAACATTTATGTGAATAAACGTCTAAATCGAACCAGTTTATCATATAAAGCAGTCATGCCTCTTCTGAAGACTTAAATTAAACCACTCAATCCGGTGGATTACTACTAGAACCTATTTTTAAACTTTAAGCGTCAAAGCTTTTTGGTGAATGGACATTTAAAGGAGGAAGTAAAGGAGGATTTTCTATTTTGGGGTGAATTAACCCTTTATTGCCCATTGCAGGGTTTCTACAGGCATGAACAAGTTGAATTTAAGACGTAAACCTGTAATGGAAATATACATTATATTACATACATATGTAATATTTAATGTGTTTAAAGTAAAAAGAAAACAAAATATCATCGCTGTAATAAATTATATTTATTAGTAAGATATACAGTAAGGCTGGACGATATGGCCAAAATTTATAATCACGATATAGTTCTTAATTTCGGTCGATACAATTCCGATATCGATATGAACACTATTTAAAAAAACCTCGTAAAAACTGCCAAGAATGCCCACAACAGATGTCTCTGCATACAAACTTATGAAAAATTTATTTTTCCAAGTCTATGACACCTCATATAAAACCATATAATATTTTAGGGAGAAAAAAAAAAAAAAGCACAAATAAATGAATGTTCACCTTTTATTTGTATTTAGCCTTCATACAAACAAGTAATGTTAAATCACAATCAAATAATCATCTCAAAGACTCTACCAGTCAAAAGTTTTTGAACAGTAAGATTTTTAATGTTTTTAAAGAATTCTCTTCTGCTCACCAAGCCTGCATTTATTAGATCCAAAATACAGCACAACAGTAACATTTTGAAATATTTTTACTATTAAAATAACTGTTTTCTATTTGAAAATATTTGAAAATGCAATTTATTCCTGTGATTTCAAAGTTATATTTTTAGCATCATTACTCCAGTCACATGATTATTCAGAAATCATTCTAATATTCTGATTTGTTGCTCAAAAATCATTTATTATTATGTTGAAAACAGCCGAGTAGATTTTTTTCAGGTTTCTTTGATGAATAGAAAGTTCTGAAGAACGGCATTTATCTGAAATAGAAATCTTTTTTAACATTATAAATGTCTTTATCATCACTTTTGATCAACTTAAAGCATCCTTGCTAAATAAAAGTATTAATTTCTATAAT